ACCTGCGCTCGTCTGGACCGGGGCCCAGGGCCGAGGCTTGCGCACTCAGACCCTCTCCTCCCGGGGGAACAGCCATGGGCCACCTGGGTCTCGGAGGAGGCCCGCGGGAAGCCACCTCCGGAGTCTCCATAGGGCCCGGCCGGTGTGGCTCAGTGGTTGAGCTTCGACCTATGAACCAGGAGGTCACGGTTGGATTCCCGGTCAAGGGCACAGGCCCAGGTTTCGGGCCCCATCCCCGGTGTGGGGCGTGCAGGAGGCAGCCGGTCCATGATTCTCCCTCGTCATTTCTTTTTCTTTTCTTTTTGCACCACAGGTAGCTTTAGGCAGCTGTGACTTTAACACTAAATCTTTACATTTGTTCACATTTATCTTGACGGCCAATGGCACCAGGTAGGTCTGTGTTTACGTACATAAGTTTTGATAAACTTTAGCTCTTTATCGTCGATGTGCTTTATGGTGGTGAATGATAAAACAGACGCGTATCTATATATATTTTATGTATTCATGACATACCTAACTTTTTCCTTCTCATTTTTTTTGGGGGGGGGATATTTCTAGGCTATGCAGCTCATCATTGATGTTTCTTTTTTCTTTTTTAAAAATATATTTTATTGGTTTTTTACAGAGAGGAAGGAAAGGGATAGAGAGTTAGAAACATCGATGAGAGAGAAACATCGATCAGCTGCCTCCTGCACACTCCCCACTGGGGATGTGCCCGCAACCAAGGTACATGCCCTTGACCAGAATCGAACCTGGGACCCTTCAGTCCGCAGGCCGACGCTCTATCCACTGAGCAACACCGGTCAGGGCTCATCATTGATGTTTCTTTCCTCTCTCCCTCTCCTTTCCTCTCTGAAATCATTTTTTTAAACATATTGAAAACTGGGGAACTGGAGGACTGGGGATAGGGGCCGCCCTTGGGGAAAGCCCCCCAGCACGTACTGCTCATGGGGACACACACGGGGTGTCCCTGCGTCCCCCCAAGCCAGGGTCCCTCTGAGAGCTGTGGTCCACAGCGCCCCCTGGTGGCTGCTCCGAGGACGCTGCCCGGAGGCTCGTGGAAAGGAAGATGCAGATGGTCCACCCTGCGAGCCCTCACCCGTCTGACTCCTAACCCCTTCTCTGTCTAGAGCAAGACCAAGTGGACACACTGAGGACCAGCAGGGGCCAGCTGGACGCTTGAGAACCTGGTCCCCTGCTTCCCCAGCCAGGGTGGCCCCAGGGACACCCCCCCACGCACCCCCCAACACACACACACCAGGGCCACTCCTGCGAGGAGAACGAGTGCCACCTGGTGGTCGAACTGGGGGAACTGCAGGGGTGCTCACCCACTCACCGGTCTTCGCGGCCACGGTCAGCGGGACGAGGATGTGTACCTGCTGGTCCCACCCCAGCAGCCAGAAGTCCTCCAGGACTTTCCCGAGAGGCCCCCCCCCGGGTGGCAATGAATTCCTGCGTGTGTGCGTGTAGCCCTGTGGGGGCGGAGCGCAGGGCATGTGAGTTGGGGACACCTTAGCCCCCCCAGACCCCACTGTACATGCACACACAGGCACACGTGGGGGCCCCAAGAGCTCAGGCCAGGCCCAGCCAGCGTGGCTCAGTGGTTGAGTGTCGGTCAACCTCTGCACCGGGAGGTCAGGGTTCAATTCCAGGTCAGGGCACATGCCCGGGCTGTGGGCTCGATCCCCAGTGGGGGGCCTGCAGGAGGCAGCCGGTCAATGCTTCTCTCTCATCATGGATGCTTCTCTCTCTCTCTCTCTCCCTTCCTCTCTGAAATCAATAAAAATATACTTAAAAAATAAATAAGTAAGTAAATGAAGGGTGCGGCAGAGCTGGTCTGACGGGTGTGGGAGGGAGGGCGAGGCTACGGCTTGGCCCTGGCGCTGGTTTTGCTGTGACCACGGGAGAC